TGGGTTTCTAAAATAGCTAAAAACCCAACGGGTTTTTTAATCGGGTTAAAAAAAAAGAGGATAGGGTTTAAAACCCAATAGGGCTGCCAAGAGTTACTAAAATAGACTATTTTTAAGAAAAATAGAAATAATTACTATAAATAGTATATTTTTTACTAAAAATAGTAATAATCTAAGTAATAATCTCTATTTTTAGTAATTTGGGCTGCCAAGACTAAACCCAATAGGGTTTATACCCCTATTGGGTTTTTAGTTAATCGGGTTTTTATAAGGACTAAAAACTCTATAGGGCTTTTGGCTCGGGTTATAAAAGGTCTACGGGTTGTCCAACCCAACCCGTTGCGCAGCCTAGTTTTAGTAATCATTAACCGACCTATTAGGAACTAAACATAAAATGTCAACGTCGTATCATCCGTAGACGGATGGATAGACGGAAAGAACGAATTAGACAATAGAGCAATACTTGCGATGTTACGTGGACTACCAGCAAAAGAATTAGGTCGAGTTACTACTAATAGCGCAATTCGCTTTCAACAACAATACATCGGTAACCGGAATATCGCCATTCTTTATAAATTACGGAAGACACCCGAATTTTAAAAAAGAACCACTAGGCGACAGACCTACAGTAGAAAAGGTAAGAATAAGAGTCGAAGACTTATATAAATTATATTTCCTATTAAAAACGAAATTAGATAGAATATTAAAAATAACTACAAAAATAGCAAACAAGAAAAGATCTAAGGGACTAGATTTCCAGGAGGGGGAGATAGTCTACATCAACACAAAAAATATAAAAATATAAAGACTAAGTAAAAAATTAGATTATACGAAAATTAGGCCATACCGGATTAAGAAAATATTAGGACCGATCTCTTATAAGCTACATTTACTAGGAGGACTAAATATACACCTAGTATTCTATAAATCGCTATTGGAGAAGGTACTAGACGGAGCTAGACTAGGACTAGTATATATCGATAAAGAAACCTAAGAACCTTATTATAATATGGAAACTATACTCTAGCTGTCACGGGTTGAACCCGTAGGATGTCTTGGTAAGAACCAGCGACGTCTAGATTCGACCGTACAGTTGTACAGCCGAACGATGTCACGTAATATTAATGGATATCTTGGCGAGCGACGCTAAGACTAAACCAGCGATGCCTAGATTCGACCGTACAGTTGTACAGCCGGACGATATCACGTGACACCAATAGTTGCTTAGGATACCGGGCGACCCACCTCAGGAGATTATATCTCCCTGTGGACAGCGGTAGGACTTCTTTCTCTCTTCCCTTTAGCTTAACGTCCTTATTAGACAGGTCCTATAGTAGTTGAATAAGCTCCTATTGGAACCCTCATAGAAAGAGAACCCCTAGTAATATAGCCCTACCCCCTTATCCGACCTATAGGATAGGCGAGAATATATACCGATTTAACCTTAATATAATAGGAGTAGGGATAAGTACTTATAAAACTTTCTCGATAATTAGTATAAGAGAAGAAAAAGTAGGATGAAAGTAAATAGGAATAAGAGTTTTTATCTTATACGCTATCCGGTACGGAGCTAGTTACTATTAAGAGTAGCGGCTTCTTAGCGTCGTACGTGGAGAAGAGGAGGGTAATATTACGGGTTAAATCCGTATAAAGCTCTAGAGTACTCCCTAGAGCGATTACTCGTAGTATACCTTTAGCCCGTATAACTATATAGTCGAAGCTACGTAACTCTCCTCTATCGATTATCTCCTAGGAAACTATATTAATCTACTATAGGAGAGAGTAGAAGGTATTTCCTTTATTCGTACGGTAGATAGATTTCCTCTTTTCTTTTCTTTTCTCTCCTTAGCTTTAGAATCCTCGTTATACGGTAGTTAGACGAATTACTCTAAATTCCTAGCTAAACCCTAATATATAGGAACTACTATTATTCGGTCTTTAAAGCTAGATAGATTTAGTAGTCGTCCTCGTAGTAGAAATACTATAATTCCTAAGTATATTTCGCGGTATTCTTCCTCGCGTAGTATCTTACTTCTTTTTATTTCTCTCCCTCTAGAAGTTTATCGAACTTTTCTTTCTTCTAAGTCTTATTTTTAGATTCTTTAGGCTTCTTAGTCTAGTACCTCGCCTAAAATTCTTCGTCTAGTAGCTTAGTCATCTGTGTTTTGGACCGGGCAGCCCAGCAAGCCCTGGGCTACCGTGGGCTCGCAGCGCTGGGCTGCAACAGATGCTTATCATGAGCTTGCAGGGCAAACCTTAATTCCTGTGGGCTCGCTGGGCTCAGCCTAAGTGCTGTGGGCTCGCTGGGCTCGTACCTAAGT